CACACACACACACACACACACACACACACACACACACACACACACACACACACACACACACACACACACACACAAACAGAATGGTCCGTGGTTCAGACGGTGGGTCCTGGTCTTGGACCTGGTCCTGGTCCTGACTCAGGATTAAGGTCTGTAAAAACCCACAAGAATCTAAAGCTCAGACCCGGTTCTGGATCAGATCCAGCTGTCCTCGTTGAGACCAGAGCCAGTCTTTGGTGGCCCTGCAGCAGGTCTCCTGGGTCCAGGTTCTGGTTTGGATCAGTTTATTTTTAGTCTAAGCTGTCATGAAGACCAAACATCCTGTCTCTGCAGGGGGTCTGGTTCTGGTCCTGGACCTTGACAGGGACACTGAGTCCTGCAGCTGGACCTCCTCAGATGAGTCTGCAGGGTCGGAGCAGGTCAGACCTGCACGTGGACCGGTCTAGAGTCTGCAGGAGGAGACCTCTCAGAACCTGTCCCACCATGGCTGCCTGGATCAGATCCAGGACCCTGGTGGTCTTCAGGGACCTCTGGGTTCCCCCAGGACCTGGTCTGGTTTGACCGTCCCTAAAAAGACAGGTCTCAGTCCAGACCCGGTTCAGACAGGACCTGGTCCACCAGACCTCAGTCTGAAATCTGAAGCCTGGTGGACTGGGCTCAGACAGGACCTGGACCTGGTCCTGGTCCTGGACCTGGTCCTGGTCCTGGTTCTTTAGTTTGTTGTTTGGATAAAATGAAACCAACAGAACCACAAGGTAAAGGTTCTGGATCAGGTTCTGGATCAGCTGTGTGGACTCACTTGGCCTGCAGGTCCAGCAGACTCTGTTCAGCCCTCTGCAGACCCTCCAGGTCCTTCATCAGGGTCTCCAGGTGGTCTCTGGACCTCCTGGTCTGAGTGTAGGCGAAGCAGCAGCCGCCCAGCGCCAGCAGGACGGAGAGGCCCAGAACCAGGTCCTTCCAGAGGTTCTGCTGCCCTGTTCACACAGAACCACACATGAGCTGGACCCTGCAGACCTCAGCTGTTTCAGCCTCTGAAGTCTCGCTGTGTCTGAACCTGGACCGGACCTGGAGGCGGTCCGAACACGACCAGGTGCAGAGCCTTCAGCTGCAGCTTCTGGGCGTGGCTTCGGTCCAGAACCTTCAGCAGCAGGACGGTCAGGGTGCTGTTCTTCACCGCCAGCCTGCAGACAGGAAGAGGAGGAGCTTAGAGCTGCAGGTCCTGCTTCTGATCACATGAACTAGCTCCGCCCCCTTCGACACATCAAAGACCAACAGCAGCTGAAACATGAAACCACCAGGCTGCAGCTCCAGCTTCAGTCAGACACTTCAGCTCGTCTTTCAGCTGTTTTAGCAGCTGTCAGCCTGTCAGCTAAAGCTGCTCCAACCCAAACACAGTCTGACCTTTGACCTTTGACCTTTGACCCTGAGCTTCTCCTCCGAGCTCAGTGATCATTTCCTCCCTGGCATTTAGGACGTTTACATTAAATTAAATTAAATTACATTACATTAAATTACATTACATTAAATTACAT